TCTTGCCACAAAACCTCTAGGAAGCCCTGTTACGAAAGAAATGCTGTCAAGTGGCTTTCCTCCTGCCTTTATCACTGATGTTCAATAACCATTCAAAACTTACAGGGTCAGGTAAGAGCTTTCTTCATAGAGCAGTGACATGATTTCTGATTAGCCTCAGAAATGTTATATTTGCTGAGAGCTCCAATGCATTTTTAATTTGATATTTTTTTGTTTGTTTTTTTTTTCCTCTTTTTTGTTTTGTTTTGTTTTGTGGTTCTATCATCTTTTACAAAAGGGAATTTTTAAGTTTAGTTTAGCCAACTAAGTCTGCTAATAGATCCACTGAGCAGTTACTCAGAAGCGTTTGCTAATGTGTTTTGCTTTAGGAAAATATCCAAAATAATTGGATTGATAATGCAGCATGCAGAGTATTTTTCCAATAGCAATATTTGGAAAATTGTATATGTGAATGGTGCTGTATGCTCATTGTTGCATATATGTGTGTGTTGTAAGCTACAACAGCCAAGTGAATATTTCAAAACAGCAAAATAAGTATTTGGAGATAGAAGAAGAATAAGCAACTCTTGAATACTTTGGCATAGTATCTTGAAGCTTTAAAATTACACCTTGACTTGCTTATTAAGTTTATTTCTTTTTTATATTTTAACTATTTATTGATCCTGCAAAGACTTGTGCATTGATTAACATTAAGTGGAAGTGTTCAGGCTTCTAAAACTAGACAGGTTCTTTACCCCTTTCACGATTCAGATCTCTGATTCCCTGATGTTTATGTGCTTGAGAAATACTGATTTTTTTTCTGAAATGGTGTCATGGTTTGACACTGGCACAATGCCAGTGCCCCCATGAAAATGTAACCTCTCCATTGAATGCTGTGAAGTGGAATCGAGAACAGAACAAAGCAGGCCCAAGCTTAATAACAGGAAAAAAAACTTTATTAAGCTACTCCTACAAAAGGGGAAAAAAGAAAGGAAAAAGGGGGGAAAAAAGCACACAAAGATCAAAATGAAAACTTTGCAAAGCATTCCTCCTCCCACCACCCAACTCCAACAAACCACAGTGAGACACAATCTGGACCCCAGTCAGGTTTCCACCCCCCAAACAATCAATACTCAGGCCTTCGAGGGAACAGAGTCTCTCCTGTGCCACAGACCCCCCAAGAAAACACAGCTCCACATCCTGTGTTTCCATGTCACACATGGCACCGCCCGGAGAAAAGTTTGCCATGGTGACCCTTCTCCTTTCCATGCACAGTGCTCTCACCACAATGCATGGATGGTCAGACTGCCTTTAGGATTTTTCCTTTCAAGGATGCCCTGCCAAGAGGGGAGAAAACAACAGTTCAGTTTTTCATTTTCTTGGGACCACAATCCCCCCCGTTTTCGCATTTTTTCCCTGGGGCCAAGGGTCCAAGAACAGAGATCTTCTTCTCTTCTCCTTCTTTGAGGACAGGGGGCACCACCACAAACCCCCTAACTTTTTCTCTGTTCACTCCACTTCTGTCTTTTCCCAGCTGAAGCAGGTCTCTTGGTTCACTGGCATCCTCCCAAAACACAGTCCCTCTTGGAGGAGAAGATTGTTTCAGTTGGTGGCCAACACAGAAAAGTCCAGCTAAAAGCCACTCCTTGTCCCCCTCCCACCTAGAATTTCTCCTTCTAACATCCCAGGTTCCAAGGTGTCCCTCTTCCTCTCTTTCAAACCGAGGAGGGGAAAGGAAATTTCACAAAGCTTTTATTTCTCAAGGAAGGGTTAAAAGTCTGAACTCCCAGGATGGCTCGATGCCCAGACTCTGGCAGCTCCCATGCGACTGGGCACCTTGCGGCCCCCCCCACCCGCCGCTCTTCTCCTTCCCCATGGTGGAATTGCTGACAAACGGCTGCTGTCTCTTTCTCTCTCCCTCTCAGGAGAGAAACTGGGGGGGGGGGAATGGAGACATCCCAGATTTCTCCACCCTTCCATCTGCAAGGGGGTTCCAGTCCCTCCACCCTTGGGCCTAGCTTAGTCAGGCCATGGGCCACGGCCGGGCAGGGGAGAGGCTGCACTGCGGCTGAGCGGAACCAAAGAGAGCGAGTTCTCCTGGGAATTCTGCTTTTAACCCCTCTGTGTTCTCAGAGGCGTGTCCACCATCAATTGGTCAACATCCAAATTGACCTCTTCCTTCCAGAAAAATTATTTTTCTGTGTCAAACCACGACAAATGGAAAGCGTGTTTCTGAACATCCTTGAAGGGTTTCTGTTAGCTTTTCTTAATGGGATATTTTAAGTGGGAAATCTTCAACCTTTAGTGTAGAGTCAGAGCAGAGGAAAAATGTTGTAGTGAATGAGGGGAAATGAATAGCAAGCTCTAATAAAAGACTTCATAAACATTGCCAACAACAGACACACCACCATATTCACCAATTTTACTGCTATATCACTCTTCAGTAAAAAGTACCTTGTTTTTACTGTGAGTGTTCCAAAGGGAATATATTGAAGTGTCTTGATTGTTCTATTCCTTAGTGCTGCAGCTGGTGAAATGGTTAAACCATCTTGCCACACCCTGAACGCCATCAGTAGTCGGGTGTTAAGAACCAATTTTATTATACATTAGGTCTTAGGCAGACATATTCATTTGCTCACATGAACTGCTGCACTGGTAAGGATTGTAAGCTGAGCTTTTAGAAATAGTATTATCAAGAGGGAGTTTTTTTATCATCTCTTCTTAAAAGTTACCAATAGTGAGAAGCTGACCTAAAACCTGAAGCTTGTCTTCATGCTTACCTGTCTTCATTGCTTGTTTATAATTATGTCCATTTCTCTGTCTTTGTCTGTATATATATCATTCACTGTGTACATTCATACTTGTTTCTGCAGTAAGTTTGTGACTACCTAGGAATTAAAGTTCTCAATTTGGTTTTTGCTTCTCTGGGTCAAAAATACACCTGCCTGGTTGGTGATTCTTTAATTATCTTTCTAATACACCTTACAGTCGCCTATATAGAATGAAAATCCAAAGGAGCTAGAAATGTGACAAAAAATTAAAATAGTGACATCTATGTTACATAAGTTCTGAAGTCAAATATGTTTGTGAAGTCAGAAATAGTCTCTAGGAAGTTCATGTTTATGACAACTACTGTGAATCATCTGTTATATTGCAAATATCTTATGTAAATGTTTTACATTTAATCACTTCTGCTACCTGAACAGAATTTGATCTTACTTGTTCAATCTTGTAAGATATTAAAATACCTAATTTGCTTTGGTTTTTTAAATTTGTATTGTAGGTTTTGACTTTTGCCTATAAGCACGCATTGGTAAATAAAATGTATGGAAGAGGGCTCAAGTTTGCCACAAAACTTGCAGAAGAAAAGCCAACAAAGGACAACTTAAAAAACTGCATTCAGGTAAGGAGTGTTTGCTGAAATAATGGGACTGCGTTTGTGCTGTGTAAGCTTTCAGAAGTAAGATATATCTTCTGGAATTTTTTGTACTCTTCTCATTTTAGAAAGCACTAAATGTAATATTTTCAATTTGTCCAGGTTTTGTGACTCAGCTTTCATTTGAAACAGTGATTTAAGATTAAATTCTTGTGCATTACATTGAAAGAATGTGGATCATATAGAATGGGGTCCCATTTTCAGGACTGAGGAATTCAAAGCTTACCATATTTCCAATCTGTTGTCTTTCTGACCATAGACATTTTTAGTAAAGTGTTCATATCAGTGCAGTGTTTGTTTAGATTTAGATGTTAAAAAGAGTAAGACTAACTTTTTTAATGTGTGCTTTTTTTTCCTTCAGCTAATGAAGTTGCTTGGATGGACTCATTGTGCAACTTTCACTGCAAACTGGCTTCCTGTTATGTATCCACCTGATTACTGTGTATTCTAGAGAATCAGCAATTGTAAAATTAAAATGATTTTATATGGGACAGGATAGGAAAAGAGAAGTTTGACTTTTTGTTTGAGCGCATGTTTTCGTTACTGAATGCTGATTATTAAATTGTGTGTATTTATCAGTAAAGGCACCTGGGTATGGCTTAATACCTGTTAACCTAACTCCTGTCATCAGGGAGTTTCCTTATTGTGCATCCCATTGCTGGCAATGGATGTGCCAGAACTGCCAACATCAAGGATTTGGAATTAGTTTGGAAAGAATTACTGCATGCATGTTATGTTCTGAATTGTTACTTTAAACTGCGAACCTGTAAAAGTTCTGTATTTTTTATGGTACACTGAATTTTAACATGTTTGATCTTAATTTCAATTGTATGAAGGCCTTAAAGCTACTTCAAGAGTAGCTAAAATCTTACTTATTAGATGAAAATAATGGACACCTGTATTGTTTGCAAGAGTTTACATTTAATGTTTTTAAGAAAAATTCAACCTCTCAAATGGTTACATTGTTTCTTGGAATTGCTGATGCATAGGTACTCTTGTAAATTTTCAAAACTCATCATTTTGGAGTGATTTCAGGCAAACTCAGAAATCTTGGTGAAGCTGTGTATCAGGACAGGCTGATCCATGTATAAAAGTGCCAGACAGTTACATATTGATCAGATATTGTAAAGCTATACATAGATGTTTATTAATAACACAGCAGAATAAATGTGCAAACTTGGAGATCAAAATACCACCATGTTCACTCTGATACTTTAAAAGATTTTTATAATTAATAAAAATACTGAAGCTAAAAATTGCATTGGTTTCTGGATGAGTACCTAAATAAAACTTGCTGAAAGAAAGCAGCTTACAAACAGCAGAGGTTCAGTGCAGCCCAGAAGATCAATGCTTTTTGATAAAGCCTTCTTACTAACATTGTTCCTTCAATGGAGGGGGAGTTGGTCAGTTTGAACAGGTCATATTTATCAACCAGAGATAAACTGCTATATCTTTTGCTGGTTTTTTTTATACTTGCAATGCAAAACTTAGATGCCACTTTACAACCATAAATGCTCAGAAGGTGTAACAGTGTAACATAATCTTGGAAAGCATTGCAATCTGTGAGGTGCTGCCACTAAATCAAAATCAGTAATAGTTTTAATTCTTTCTTACTGTGGCTTTAAGCAGTTTGACATTAGAGTCTGGAAATTCTGCTAGAATGGTTGTGTTAAATATATTGCAAACTTTTTCCAAAAATTCGTAGTCTGTACTGAATCTGAATTTATTTGCCCATAGCAATACTGTTCCTGGCTTACAAAAGTACACCATTGTTGCTAGCAGGGGGTCTAGAGCTCCATGATGGTACACAACATCAGTTGCCAGTACGAAATCATAATGGTATGTTGATACAGGAAAGTCTTCGTTGAGGCCTTCTCCCCACACCAGTTTTCTCACTTCAGGCTTGTGCATATTCAAGTTCTGTGTATTTCTCGAAATATTATATGAGAGATTTTCAAGAACTTCGGGCAAATCAGTAGCTGTAACATGAGCTCCTAAAGAAAACATGAGTTTGTTTCAAGTCACAGAATCACTAAGGTTTGAAGAGACCTTCAAGATCATCTGTCCAACCATGAACCCAGCACTACCATAATTGACCCTAAACCATATCCCCAAGTCCCACATCCAGACACCTCTTGGATGCTTCCAGAGTCAGTGACTCCACCACCTCCCTGGCCAGCTTATTCCAAGACTACCTAAACACCCTTTCTGTAAAATAAAAAAAAATCCTAATACCAAATCTGAGCTCCCCTGTAAAACTTGGGGCTGTTTCCTCTCTCACTTGAGACAGGGCAAAATTCATAGGTATGTAGTTGAACATGTATAAAGTTTTATCTGTAACTGGTCCAGCCTCCCCCTCCCCCAAAACTAGGGTCATTTAGTTAACAAAACAGTATTTTACATTGTTTTTCATTTAAAAAAACAGTGGCAACAAAAAAAACCTGAACAGTGACAAAGTTTACTTCAACTGTTGTTTCATTGCCTTAAAGTGACAATGGCAGAGCTAGATCATCGTTTACTAGAAATTCAAAAGGAAATAAAAAATTACTAACCTAAGATACAAGCCACAATAGAAAGTAAACCTGTTCCAGCACCAATTTCCAAAACTTTTTTGTCTTTGAGGTTGAATTGTTCTTGATTTGATTCCAGATACTGAGATAAAGCCAGTGCCTGAAATGGTTAACACATATCTGTAAGAGGGTAACAGCTAAGTTGCACAAAAATTCATTAGATGTTTTTATACAAGGGTGTTGTGTTTTTTTAGTATAATGAGAAACACTGAAGGGTATAACAAAAAAAAATGTAAGATGGGAAGAATTGTGATGTATCCTGTTTTTTTATATGAAAAAACCTAAAGCAGTTTATTTTTAGTTTTATGTGATACTGATTTCCTACACACTTCTACATGAGTCCTCTTTGACAGCTCAAGACAGAATCACAGAATAAGCTGAGTTGAAAGGGACCCACAAGGATAGTCAGTGTTAGGATGTGAACCATACAGTCATAACAACAGAGTTTTAACAATATGTAGGAGTAATGTTCTGGTTTATTATCATCAATGTTATGCTATACTACCGCTATCATAAAGTAAATTTAGGCTTCAGCAGAGATTTTTGAAATTTTTTTTGTCTCAATTTTTTTAGCAAAGAAAATACTGAAAATTAGTTATTTACAAACTTGACACTTGTTTATTGATAATAGTATAAGCTTTGAAAAAAACAAAACAGCACTGTATGAAAATATTATCAGGCCTTTGTAAAGATTTTGTCAGTAGAATATAAGTGGGCTGTTTATTAACAACATAAACTGATGCCAAAGAAACTGTCTTCCCCTTTTTGCTTCTCTTCTTTAGGATTGTGTTACTGTTTTAACTCTTGTGCTTTTCATTATGCAACACTGTCTACCTGCTCTGGGAAAGCTGACAGCTAATGAATCACTGGTCCAATTTGTGCAACCTCTCAATTTTCTTGGAGAGTTTTACCATCTGCATTCTGACACTTGATTAATGTGCAAATTGATGATCTGACATTTCAGAATAAGATCCTGTTTCACCCGCCCATATGCTCTCTCTATTGTTTTGAAATTGTCTGCCATTTTCTTGTGAGCTTTTTAAATAAATGTGGATCTGAAAAATTTTAAAATCCTGATTTTATTGTCTTTGTCAGTTGACTCTTCACACAAAGGCAGTTTTCTTAGTATGTGTGAAACTCTGTTTTTAAGAGTAGGAGAAGCAGAGACTGGAGAAGTGTTTACAAGTATGATTTTCCATACTGTAATGAAACTCTTCCAGCCTTTTCTTTAAAAGAAGGATATTTAGTCATTTTAATGTACTTTATTTATTTAATCTCTTGCAGTTTTGTTTTTCAGCCTTCTTTTTGTGTTGCTGATTATTTACTTCTCAGCAGTGACTGATTGGAAGCCTGAAGTAAGCTGTTTCTTCCCGAGTTCCCTTACTGATTTTTTTTTTCAGTCCCTACATCCAATGTACAAATGATTTGGTGCCATAGTCCTTTTGGCATGAACTGGCAAATTACCCTAAGGCAGAGCTTTCTGCTGAAGGACTTCATTCTGCCTAGGGAAACTTCCATTGTCAGAAGTGTCATCTAAGAAAGCTTCCTTAATATTTGTGTGCTGCTGTCCTGGTTTGCTCTTGTGTCACATGAGCTTTCTGCATGTGGTCTTGTGTACTTACCCCTGGCCATACCACGGCTCCAAAGTGTTCTATGGATTCCTGAATAACAATCTGGTGACCAGCATATGTATAGTGCTCTTTATCAAAGTAGTGTGAAACTCTAGGAACCCAGTTCTGCAGGATTTTAAGAGTTACTGGTGAGCCTGTGAGAGAAAAGTTGAAATTTCATGGTGTATGTGCAACTTGTTAAAGGGTAAAAAGTATTTTACAAAAACAGTATGTGGGCACATGGGCTAGGAAAGCTCTGAGGACATTGGTCTTGAATCATAGAATCATTAAGGTTGGGGAAGATCATTAAATCCAGCCATTAATCAACCCAGCATGTTCATGGCTAAAACATCTCCAAATGCTACATCTACACATATTTTGAGGATTTCTCTGGGTGATGATTCTACCACTTCCCTGAGCAGCCTGTTCCAATGCCTGACCACCCCTTCAGTGAAGACCAGTGTTGTCCAAAACCAGACAGGTGGCTGGTGGGGAGTGAAGGGAACAATGGTCATTTCCTGCCATTCTAGGTATTCACATGAGCAGTTTAGAGATAGAAATGAGCCTTTTAGGAAAAGCTACCAATTCAAATATAAAACTCTGCTAATAATTTCTAGAAGACTTTCAGGACCAAGTTAGCTTGTATTTTGGTGTTTGTGCTGTAGATTTCATTTGTAAGGTCAGCAGCTCTATAACAGCAAGTTGCTTTTTATATAAGGACTTAGGATTTAAATCCTACATTGAAGAAAACCTGACTCTTAGTTGTTTTTTAAGGTGGTTTTTTAAGCATCCTTCCACAGAAGGAGGGTTGTAAGATGCTTTTTATGTTAGCATACACAATGTAGTTCAGCAAATCAGTGCTACAGTTGTCCTAAGGGTGTCTCATCATAGCAAGGAGGCTCATGGGTGATGTTTTTCAGATCTGTGCTGAGGCTGTTCCATCTGATCTCACTGAAAACAAGGACACTATTCTGAATGACTGAACTTCTGTTGCAAGGATATATGTAGAATCAGCTGCAAGGGAGAAATTTGCTCAGGCCTACAGGGATTTTAACTGATGCCTGCCTGGAATCCTTTGTAGCTTTTGGAGCAGTTTAGCCTGTTGAAATCTGTAGTAACACGACTTCCAACAGTGCCAGCCCAATCAATGGTTATATTATAGCCATATCTCTTTTGTGAGAGATTGTAATTGAGAAATAATCTTTAGATATCTAAATAAAATCCAGAGACCTTTTTAAATATATTTCTTAATTATGGAGATAGAGGGGTATTTCTTGTATATTTAATCTGATAATATATTCAAACATAAACAAACAATGGGGGAAATGGGATATCAAAGGAAAAGTTGCATGATGACATCTACTATTTGAAGACTGACAAAATCAAAGTATGATATGCTAGCATGCCATAGCAATTGCAGTATTTAAATTGGACTAAACCTGTGTCAGATTCTGCATGCTCAGAGCTGCAAGTGCAGTTTTCAGGGTCATACTGGTCTTCACAGGTTTCTTCCTCGGACTGGCAGTCCATTGTTCTTTGAATTTTATTGGGGAATGGTGGCTGTTGTGCAGAGATCATGGCAAAAGAGCTGAAACAGAAGGGGAAAAATAATGTTATAAAATCTTGCAGGCACTCTCTTCATATGAAATACGACTGGAAAAAGACAGTGAGTAGTTGAGGTAGCCTTTGGTGGCCTTTTGGAGTTTTTTCAATGATGAAACTGAAGGAACAAGATGAGATGGGATATATCCACTCCACTGCCTGTATGAATTATTTCTGGGAATGTAGTAATGCTGTCAGAATTTTTATTTTCTCTCATTTATCATTTTTATCATTGTGTTTATTTTATAATCATTTATGCATAAGCTTAGAATTATGTCACTGAATTGATACTCCTGGTCAGCTGAGCTACTCTTATAAGTTGAAGCAATAGCTGAGGAAGATAACTGTCTTAATATCTGTGACTTCTTGTCTGTCTAATTTACTATTTTCAAAAAGCTTGGGACTTATGATTCCAGAGATAAAACTATTTAATTTGCTGCAGTCAGTGGTCTTGATTTTGTCTCCTTGCACAGAGTTGCCATCTCTTCCCTGTCTTTTCCTGCTGAACAGCTAACCCAATTACTGAAATGCAGTCAACTGCAGATTATGCATGGGGCAGTCAGAAAATCATTGCAGTGAGAAGATTGAATCCATAAGGCTTTTTGGATAACTCTCTGTGTGCATCCCCAGGGTACAGGGCAGCACCCAATCTTAGAAGGAACTGATTGATACCAGCTGGCACCAATAAAAGCATGAATAGAAATTAATATAGATTTGTTTGGAGAGACATAGGTCAGTGAATTTCCTTGCTTGACTAGCATTTTCTTCAGTGAAGCATGTATGTATATGCATACATCTGTAAGTGTGTGAAAATATATAGATGTAGATTATAGATATATAGATAGATATATAATAGATATAGCTATAAATATATACACAACACATCTATATGTAAAGAGCAAAAGGTTTATAACTCTGGCCAGAGCCAGAGGCTGTACATGTTCACCTTTCCCACACAACATGATGGCTGGAGTGAGCTGTGTTTTTATCCATGATAAAAACATTTATCCACTCTGTTCATTTTTGAGACTGCATATATGCTCTCTCCAGCCACAGGCACTGCAGACAAAGTGTTGTATCATTTGAGTTGCATCATACTACAGGAGGCTGTTTTACATATCCTCACTGGAAGGGGCAAATCTCGCAGTGGCCAAGATGTTTAGCAATGCCTGCAGGTATTTTTTAAGGAGCAGTGTGACTGCTGACTTATGTGAGTGATTTAATTTGCACATGATATTGACACCATTGCAATTCTACTGATACCTGATATATACCTTATTGCTGCTCTGTTTATTCACAAGGACAGGATTTCTGTTCTAATACCTCTAACACTGCATTTGCTCTGTCTTGGCTGTGATTTTGTACTGCAACAGAAAAGAGTGTTTTAAAGTGCTTTAAATCGATTTCTGTGTATTTGTTTGTTTGTTTGTTTGTTTTTTCTTCAGAGGAACCTCCATCTGGCTAGTAACAAGATCTGTCTTTCCCCCATGGTGTGTGATTTAAGGTATGAAGAAGGTAGGTAAGAGACTGAAATTAATGATGCAGTCACTGCATTCCCTGACATGATGTTCACATTCCACATGTTACAGTGTGCCTGCTTCCAACAGCAATGTTTTTTTTCATTTACTCAAAAATAGGCTTCTGGATTTGAGCAATGTCTCCTTTTCATGTCTTAAGCTAGAATAAAATCTGCTCATGTTTTAATGTTTTAGGAAATGTCTATGAAAAATATTTTCAGACTTGTGCAATTGGGAAGGTACATAATGAGAAGAGAAGAATCTGTCAGAACTGGAAATGGCTACAGCCAGAAAACATTAGTTGGAAGACACAGTCTTCTGAACATTTTATGTTGAAACCTGCAGAGCACTACCTTCTCATATTTGGGAGTTTTGGGGTGAGTGTTTGTTTTGATTTTTTTTTTTTTTTGTATGGTTCTTGAAGCATGATTGGTGCTATTTCAGATAAAAACCAATCCTGAAACTAAACATGCAGGAGAAAACTTTACCTTGTCCAGTATTCTACTATGTATAAAACCACAAGGCTTGTTGAATGAATAAACTATTAATTTGTCCGTTTGGGTGGAAAGTGATCCCCCTGTATTTTTTTCCTTGCTTAAGGAAGCTCTTACAGGCCAAAATTTCAGTTGGCTGTGGGTGGCAGTGAAATACAAATTTGTTGATCAGCTATTAAGTACCTGCAGCAAATAAATTTGTATCTCTGATCCTGATATATATCTATACCCTATTTATCACTCATTCAGACTGAGCTCTAACTCTATTAGACATGTTATGTTACATTTTCAAAATAAAAATTGTTATGCTTTCCCTCACTTGTCCTTTGAGTTCCTCTAAAATGGGAGTCTGCTGGTTTTACTAAATTCATTAAAATGATCAGGAGGCCTAAAATCCACACCAGTGGTTACCCTGCTGCTGGTGTGGTCCTTAAGTCCATAAGTTGCCTGAGCTCCTAGGTGGTGATTTGGGGGGATAAACACTCTGCACTCACTGTTTGTATGTCCCCTGACACACTGGGCTCTGGTTTTTGGCTGGAGCTTCTGGATGTTATACTAATACCTTGTAGTGGTGTAGCTTTTGCTATACACAGAAATATGACTGTGTATATATGTATATATCCGCATGTTCATTCTCTTGCTATAATTATTCAATGACATATTTCATAGTCTTTTTTTAGCTGCAAACTACGGGACAGTTTTAGTCTTGTAAATTCAATAATTCAAGTATATTAGTATTTTGGCCTTAATGATGCACAGCTTTATTTGTCATTTCAAATGACAAACTCTTCCTGAAGGCTAGAGGCACAAGTGAATATTGAGAGGCTGTTTGCAAATAGGTGGTGTTTGCATTATTGCATTCTCTATGTGTATTAGTTCAAGTTGCTGCTGTGCTCACAGAATTACAAAAAGTAATTTTTCTCACTGTTTTGACATTTTTCTGATCCATACTTTACTAAAAATTATATATCTCTAAAAGAATTTTGGTTTGATAATTTTGCAAGCAAAATCTGTTCCCTTAGAAAATGTTGGCACTTTCTGAATGTTAGCAGCCAGGGTTTTTTCCAAATTAGTCTTTTTGGGAAATAATTATCTAAATTCTTTCCGAGTTTTTAAACCAATATTGACTTCATGTATAGTCTTAAGCTGTTGTGAACAAAACAAAATTAAATCACATTAGATTTCTTCAGAACATAAGGAAGGAAGAATGAATAATTCACAAAACTCTCTCTATTTGATTAACAAGGTAACACTTAGGGGCAAATTGTAAGATGATGATAAACCTTAAGGTAAAAGTTTATTCCCTATAATAATAAACTTTGTGCCTCTTAAACTGCTGAAATCAATTCCTTAGAAAGAGCTTTTAATATCCAGTTACGTGGCCAAAAAATAGGTTATTGAGCAGTGCTGTGTCACTGAGTCTTCAGCTGTAAACACAACTCTGCTGAAATGTGTTTCATCTCAGCACAGAATTGCTCAGTGTAGTCTGTGTTAGCTGAAATACTTGTGCAAAAGCCAGTTTCATTTGCTCACATGTGCAGTCTGTTCTTTGCAAGTGCAGTCTGTTCTTTTCAAGATCAAGTTTAACCATACTTGTACCATACATTAACATCTGTTTCTTGGAGCTCATGCAATTTTCTCATGTTACCATGCACTAAATTTAAAAAAATAAACACCAACAATACAAATGCTAGGAAATAAAGGAGATGTCAGCCTTAGGAATATCGCTGTAGTAAATCTATGTCATGTTTGAAGCTACAAGGTAAACACACCCAAATACCGCAGTGACCGTCACTCCACACAGAGCAGAGAGCTGGATTCTGTTGGGTCACAAAGCTGACCTGAAATACAAGAATTCACACAAAGGTGTTCCTGTTGTTAGTTAGCAGGGAACACAAAGGCACGTCAGAGGAGTTTAGCTGGGCAGCTGTGTGGGTACCTGATGTGACAGAAGGCGTGGGAGGTTTCCTGTGGGTAGATGCACACTCCAGAGGTATTTTATACAGGCGTGCACCTGAAAAGAATAACTTTCCCCTCCAGCCAGTCGGGTTGCAGGTTATTTAGAGTAACGTTACCAGGCAGCACTCGAAGAACTTACACTTACCATGTTACACTTAAGTCTTCCACATGTGCAGTACAAAATCAAAAACCCTCTTAGACTTTGAAGCCCCAAGCATACAAATCTTCCTTGGCTCCTCCAGACTCTCGTTCTGTTTTTGCAGACGACGCTGTTCCCTGTGTTTGCCTTACGTCAGCGGAGCTGAACCAAGCCAGCAACTTACTGTGGGCAAACGAGTGCATAAATAATGAGTGTGGCAACTTGGCAGCAGCCCAAGCACAGGGAAAAGTTCATGAAGCTCCCACTACCAGGAAAAGGTCAGGTCTTCCTTGCCCTGCTTAGCATCTGGCTGGGGAAGCTCTGGGTACCCTCCCTGCTATGGGTCACAGACAGTGTGGGGAAGTGTCAGTCCTGAGGAAAAAACAACTTTCTCATCATCTTCATTGCAGGACATAACCATAGGAAATATTGTATGGACTGAAAGAGGATGGAAAACAAATTAAAATAATGAAAATCCTGCTGATTATTTTAAAACAGATGGATGTCATAGGTATTGAAGACGAACCAGATGTATATTCCTTACACATTTCAAGGATTGGAGAATTTATTCCTTTGCTGCTCTTTTGCCCTCCCTTCTCCTTCTTTGCAAATATCCTGCCAAAAGAAATTCAATTCCATTGGAAAACAGAAAAATTTTAAAGCTACTTTGAAAGTCATAAAGCTAGAAAATAACCCCTGGCTAATTAATGAATGGGTAAAGGCTGGTGAAATAAGTGGGAGAGGCAGAGGAAATGTGGGTTTTAAACTCAATTTATAGGCATTTTCATTTTGGGGTGAAAAGCTTCTGAATTTCGGTAATGCTCTCCTGAAGAGTGGCAAAGTGAAAAAAATGAACCTTTTTTGTCACAGCAGCTGCTCCATGTGTGGGCTGCTGCATGTCTCTAGGAGTGACACCAAGGATAGGAAACACTTGTCTCCACGTTAAAATGCTCACCAGCTTCTTTCCTCTGAAATGTGATAGTTAAAAGATACTTCTTAATTTATACTTGGGAACTAGTATTAAGATATTAACTGTATTAAGTTGATATTGTAAACTTTGCATTCCACTGACCTGCCAGATTTTACAAGTAGTGCAAATGAGTGGTCCTGAGGCAGGTGAGTAGCTGCTATTGGAAATGAAAATAGGCTGCTGTTAGAATGACTGCCATGGATTTTTTTAAAATGAGGTCCTTTTAGCAGGCACATTCCTGCTGTCATCTTTATTGTGTTTGTCACCAGGGGTGAATTCAACTCAGACTGGTGCTGCTGTCAGAGCTCTGTCCTAAGCTTTGGAATGGGACTGATGCTGGACATAAACAGTTTATTTGTTAAATGAAATCAAAGGAATTGGCTTACTCTGTAATGCATCTCTTGTAGCAAGGGTGGAAACTGTAGAGACACTATTACTGTTTATTTATGAATCATGAAGCATGGCTCAATTTCTTGTTTATAACTCGTGGAGGAATCAGCACTGATGCTCTGAGATGTAGCTTTTGTTGACATAATTTTGTTATAGACTTTCTATAAATACTTATTTTTCCACACTCAATCTCCAAGTATTTCTTGCTTAACATTGAAAATGGTGTTGTCTGGAGGGGTAGCCCCATGGAATTACCATTTCTCCAGACTTCTGTGAATGGGCAGGCTGAGGGCAATACAGCACCTCAGTTCTACATGTAAAAGGGCATTTTTCAGTTAGCAATTCAACATCCAATTCCACAAAGCTCTGAATTATTTGGTTGGCTTTTCTGTTTCTCTAAATACTCATGGGAATTTTGCCATCTACACCATTGGTGGAAGACAAAATGCAGCATGCTGCTAAATGTGATGAAGTAAAGCAAACTTCAAATATTGTTAGAATGTATTGATTTTAATGTGAATTTTGTAGGTTTGGGGGCGTTAGGTCTGGTAATGTGAAACCTAATTGGTAGTGTGGATCTTTTTCCCATTTAGTGCTGTTAAACTATCAGGAAAGCTGGGAAGAGTTTTTTCCTGACTGTGTCACTGAACTCAGCAGTAGCATTCTCTTCCATGTACAGGCAGAGTAAAGCTATATTCCTATTATTGGATTATAGATTACAGTGTTTCAATTTTAAAACAAATTTAAAAGTTTGTCTGCTGTTAATAGTACCAATTATATCATAAAAATGAGGTAAATTTATCAAAACTTTAAAAGGCTGTGATAAACAGGAATGAAAATATTACAGCCATTATACCCATCAGGAGCAAGAAGCCTGCCAGATTTGTGCCGAAGGGCAGCAGAGTTAAACCTGAAAAGTTAAATTATATTCTTGTCAATTAAATCAATAACCACAGATGAACAGGACCAGATGGTAATTACTCAGAACTCCACAGTGGTATTTCCAGCTCCAGGCCAATGTGTGGTGCCTGCATCTAAAAGTAGGCTTGATAGCCAAGCACAGGAAATTGTACAAATGTCAGTGGTATTTCTAAGGGAGTCTTGGACACATGTAGGTTACAGTGGGGCAAGTCTGACAGTGCTGGTTAAACTGAGAGGAACAGCAGAGCTGGTGATAAACAAGAGGTTTAGAAACAAAGAGGATAAAACAAAGAAGGTTTTGTGTGTTCTTTGGCAGTGTCTGCAAGCATGTCATGAATCGTCCTCCAGTTTACAGCGTACATGGTTTTCCACAAGCTTTTCATAGGTCACTCACTAAAGATCCTTACAGAAATTGAGTTTTGTTGGATTAAGGAGTTTATATTTTGTTTTAATAATTTAACAGGAAAGAGACCATAAATGGTCAGGTTTTCAGTGACCCAGAAGAACCAGTGCTGCTGAGTGTATTCCTGAAATGTAGTGGAAATAATGTGATGACAATGCAGAATTATTCAAGACAGTGAAAAGAAAAATAAGCTGCAAAGTTCCAGAAGGATCTCTGGCATGTTATGAGAGGTGATAATATGATAAATGAAATTCAGTGCTGACAAGTACCACATAATACATAGTCTCTAACTCAGTAGCACCTAGGAAAGAGATCTTCATGAAGACAGAGACAACTATGTACCTCCAAAACCATATCACTAATCAAAAACACAAAGAGATTGTTGCATTTTAATAAGGAAATGGAAAAAAATCCATCCAACCAACCAAAAACTGGAAAAGGAACATTGTTTTTTCCACTACAGGAATTCAGATATTATCTCATATTTTCAGTGTGTGCCTCGAATCTTTGATTAAAACATTCATGGTCTTGGAGCTGCTGCAGGATTTGCTGGAGAGCCTGGGTGACCTGGTGAATGACTGATGAAAAATGGCAGAGTCATTCTTCTACAGCAGATTCTCCTCATTCTTTTTGCTGGAGACATCTGTCAGCAGCCAGCTAAATGTCTACAGCATGGTCTTGGCATAGTCTGCTGAAGTATAAACAACTGCAAGGTGAATTTGTTCTCAGCTGACATCCCTTACAGGGAAACACCAGTGAAATATCTCACAGAAATGAAGGAATGTTTCTCTAGGAAGATGACACAGTTGACAGTTCAGCTGAGGTGCCTTTACACCAAGGCAGGAAACATGGGAAACAGACAGGAGTTGGAAGCCACTGTGCTGCTGGAAATCTATGTCCTAGCTGCCACTACTGAACTTGGTGGGATGAATCCCATGACTGGAGTGCGACTGTCGATGGCTACAGGCTGCTTAGAAGGGACAGGGAGAAAGGAGAGGTGGTGGAGCTGTCCTCTACACCAAGAGCTGGAGTGAGTGTGGAGAGTTGTTTCTTAAGAACAGACATGAGCAGGTCAAGAGCCTGGGACAAGAACCAGAGACCAAGGCAGCAAGAGAAACTTGTGTTGGTGCCTACAGGCCCTGGATCAAGGGGAGCCTACTGATGAAGCCTTCTTGCTCCAGCTACAGGAGGCATTGTGCTCACAGGCTATTGTCCTGCAGGGAGACTTGAACTGCTCTGAAATCTGCTGGAAAAGTAGCATGATGGCTGTAGGCAATCCAGGAGACTCCTGGAATGTGTGCAGGATAACTTCCTGACCCATGTAATAGCAAGCCCTACCAGAGGAGATGAGATATTAGACCTGGTGGTCACCCACACAAGCAGGTTATTTTGGGATGTCAGTATAGGAGGCAGCCTCAGCTGCAGTGGTTATAGGCTGGTGAAATTTGCAGTCCTGAGAGATATGGGTCAAATCAGCAGTGGAGTTAGGTCCCTCAACTTTAGGAAAGCAAACTTCAGGAAAGCCAGCTTTCAGTTCTTCAAGGAATTAGTAAATAGGACCCTCTGTGAAAGTGCCCTCAGGGACAAGGAAGCAGTACAGACCTGGTAGATCTTTAGTGAAACCTTCCACAGAGTGGAAGAGACTGAGTTTCCCAGGAGCAAGAAATTGGGCAAAGAAGACAAGAGAGTGGCTTGGTTGAGCTGGGGCATGCTGGTTAAACTGAATGGCAAGAAGGAAATTCATGGGCAGTGGAAGCAATGGCAGGTGTCCTGGAAAGAGTACAGGGGTATCCAATCTGGCTGTATAGGGATGAGGTGAGGAAGGCGGAGGCAAAGCTGGAGCCCAGGTTTGTAAGGGATGCGCAGAACGAGAAGGGCCCCTGTAGATATTTCATCCAGAAAAGGAAGGTCAAAGCAAGGCTGACACACTGGTAACAGCAGCTGAAGAGAAGGCTGAGGTACTTGGCAGCATTTCTGCCTTAGTCTTCACTGACAGCTTTTCCTCCCACACCTCTCGAGTGAGTGGACCACAAGACAGGAACTGGAGAGCAGCATGCTCTCTGGTTCCTACTCATGCTCTAGTTCGCTCATGCACTGTTAGCAAGATCAGGTTTGTGATCACATGAGGAATCTGATTGTGCATGAGTTCATGGGATCCCAGGAGATGCATCCCAGAGTCCTGATGGAATTGGCTGATGAAGTTGCCAAGCCAGACCCTGTGATACTTGAAAAGTCATGTGAAATTCCAGGTGACTGGGAAAAGGGAAATACAGTATCCATCTTTAAAAAGGGTAGAAAGGAGGATCCTGGGAACTCAGCCTCACCTCTGTGCCTGGGAAAATCATGGAGCAGATTGTCCTAGAAGCTCTGCTAAGGCACATGGAGAACAGGGAGGTGATTTGAAACAGCCAGCACAGCTTTGCCAA